ATTTTAACTTCCAAGAGCTCTAATTATCCAATTTTTCCTTTTCCACAGCATCCTGTTCTTGTTTAGAAGACTTTATACCCCCTTGAACTCTCAGTGAACACTAATTAAAGAATTTCTTCCAAACTAGTTTTTTCATGTAATTCACACACTTGGTTCACCATGTGTTCTATTTATATGTCCATGATGTCCATCCACATGTCTGATCCGGCCCACCCAGGATAAAGGAAACCTGTACCACATGCAAATAGGCAATAATCAATTGATTTTTTTGATAATAATTATAACCAAAAAAGTACCTAAGTGCACAAAAAGGGAGCCAGCTTACCTTCATGGAGTCAGAATATAAAATATATTCCCTGAGCACAGGCAGAAAGTCTTCTGTCATGTCATCTGTCAGCTCTTCCAAGGCTGTGGAGCAGTTGCCGATGCACGCTGACACGCCCTCCAGGGGTTCAGCCAGCTCCCCCTCTAGCGCGCTCCACGTGGAGTACACGGGCCCATATTCTCTGAGCTCTACAAGGTACTCTAAAGCGGGAAGAGGAACCAATAAGCTTGGCTGGGCAGCAGTCACTGGTATTACGGACTCAGTCACCAAGATGTGTTCACTCACCTGATCATGCTCCTCTTTGAACACAACATTGCTTATAATAATTTTTTAATTTCTAAAAGCTGATGCTACAATCAGCTCCACCCCATAATGAGAATGCCATGCTTCTGGGTAATGAGGACCACACTGCCTTCTGGGGGGGTAAATGGTAGAAACTACATCCATCAAACACCTAAAAAAATAACCACTCTCCTACCCACACAGTGAAGCACTATTTTAACAGTGGTGGCAGAGTTTCCTATAGGTTTAGGGGATGTGTGGGGGTATTTTTTTAAATCAGTCACAATGGAAAAATGGAATTTTAGGAAACATTTGATACAGAAGATGTGGTCTTACATAGGCAGACTCAGTCTTTCACTCAGGGATTATCCCACCCTCTGGTCCTTAGATGTGGACGGAACCTACAGCTAACTCCCAAACCTGCAGGCCCCACATGATGCCATCAGTGTGTAAAGGAGAATTAAATCACAGAAACCAAGAAAAAATGTTATTTCCCCTCACAAAGAAAATACGGCTCATCACTGTCACCAGGATTCTTGCCATGACAATAAAACGTCGCTGCCATTTTTTTTTTTTTTTTTAGCAACCAATGGGTGGCGACTATTGGAGAATCCTTTCCAATGTGCTTCATATCACTGCCAGCATGTTCATTAATACTGTTCAGGTATGTTTGGCTCACATGTGTGTAAGAAGGCAAAAGGCCCCAACATTCTGGGATTCAGAAAAGCAAGTGGCCACGAGAGGGGTGGGGAGGAAGTGGAAGAACAGCCAGGATGAATAAAAAAAGGCCTCACAACTCCCCAGGCCAGGGAGAGCGGGTTTGAAATGCAGCAGGGCTCGTTAGGATCATAACTTCGGCAAACACAGGTCACCACACTGTTGTCCTTTTTTTTTATTTCAAAGAGGAAGGGAGAGGGAGAGATAGAAACATCAACGATGAAGAGAATCGTTGATTGGCTGCCTCTTGCATGCCCTATATTGGGGATCAAGCCTGCAACCCAGGCATGTGGCTTGACTGGGAAGTGAACCGTGACCTCCTGGTTCACAAATTGATGCTCAACCACTGAGCCATGCCAGCCAGGTCTTTTGTCCTTTTGAACCACGTTTCTGCCAGAAAAGATACCCGAGTTTGTTTTTAAACCATCACTCTTATTACTGAAGGGAGGCTGAGTCAGTATCTCCACTTCTAAAGCTAAAGTTGAGAGGGGGAAGTGGGAGAGCCTCGATGCTCAGAGGTGGTTGTTTGCCCCGGGGAACGCCAGCACTAGGCTGAAACGCCAGGCACAGGAGGAAGCCCAAGGTTATACTCTGCTCACAACTCCCTCCTCCCTTCCTTGTATTTACTTAGTTTTATAAGCAGAACGTGGCCTCGTTCCATCATTCCTGTGCTTCCGCATTTGATTCCACTTCGCACACGACTGACATTTCTGCAAATGTGCTCCCTGGGCACAATCAAACTCACGACAAAGAGCTCACCTATTTCTTCTTTGATGATCCGCTGGGCTATCCGATCTATGGTTCCCAGTTTGAGTGCAAAAGTGTCCAAGTATTCGCCGATGGCTGCAAACTCCAGAGGCCGACTCCTCAGCTTGTAGCCTCCGGCGACATGCTTGACTGACTCGCCCACTCTGGTCAGCAGCGCCATCCCTTGCTTCTTGTAGGCATTCAGGTCCTAAGGATGACAGATGAACAAACAAACTCGAAGGGCTCAATCGCTCACACGGCCAGGACTCAGTCACCAACTCCATCAGACAGTTGCTCTTGGAAACGGGAAGACTCAGAAAATAAGGAGCTGAGTTAGAGGACCTAACCACATACACAAAGGTGCCCTCTCCTTGCCATCACGTCCACCAAGCTCATGGCCTGCCTTTCTAATCAGGTTCACTTACCTGAGCATGCTCTCCTTTAAACAACACTGTGTTTCCAACATCATTTTTAAAAAACTTTTACCAAAAACAAAAAGTCCCTTCCTCCCTTGCAAAATACCCTAAGTTGTCTTTAGAACCAAAATTCAAGGACTGAAATTCATTCCATTCATTTATTTATATCTCAACCAAAGCCAAATAAGTAGCGAGTAAAGGGTGGGAAGTCTGACATGGGGACAGAAAAGCCAGGGCTAGAAAACTCAGGGCAAGGGCAGCTGCTGTAACAAAACATTGCATGTTGGGCTTCTTGGTCAAGGCATACATGGGAAATACAGTGAGCAACATAGCCAGTGTATCTCAGTTTAAAAACCACATTAGTCTGCCAGGTAAAACAAGCTTCTTCCTATCGCTAAACTCTAAGAGGAGCTGGCAGTGTCTTAGGTTGTTCTATGTCCCTAACTTGAACGGTGCCTGTTCAAGAAGATAGAAGATGCAGGTGCCTGTTCCTTCTGTCCATTCTCAGTACAAACAGAATGTTAATTCCTAGTCCTAGAAAGTCATGTCCACAGGGAGATAAGGGACCACTGCTTTCTGGTGACCCTGTCTGATGTAGGGATAGGGCAGACAACAGGGAATCACAGTGAACACAGCTGTCCCATTTGACACACAATCGGAGCTTGGATCTCCGTGGCTGGAGTGTAGACTCCTCCTGATTTCACTTCCTTTTCCTTCTTCATGCAGTCAGGGCCTTCACTTTTGCTCTTGATTCCACCCTTTCTTATCCACCCCACCCCAACTACCCTTCCCCTCCCCTGTCTGTATTTTCAACTTCTATTCCTTCAGCATGTAAACTATACCCAAGGCTTGCCCATCTTAAAAACAGCAGAAACCACCCCCAGCCCCCATCCTCTACTTCTTTCCTTGTTTTCGAAGTCTGGCTGCCTGAGAGAATGTTCTAAAGAATCCATTTCCTGTTCTAACTTTAGACGTTCTAGACCCCCCAAAAATACCCTCATAAGCACCAGGCTTTCACAAGACCATCCGGAAGCCCTGGAGTTCTCAGCTTTGCTTCAAAGACAGTGTTTTTTGGTGTAAGGCTAGGTCCAAAAGGGCTCCTTGAACTGCATGCACTCTAGTTCGAGTAGAGCTTTGAAAGGGCAACGCCAGCTATCCAGGTTCGTTAACATGCTGAACAGTTATGTATAGTACCTCTCTGACTGTTGCACCCATTCTGCCAACGGTGAAAACACAGATTTGAACATAGTTGATACTGAGTGTCCCCTACCACTCCCAACATTCCTGGCTGCTGCTTCAAGGCGCTCCTGGTTTGGGATAAGATCATGTCATCACAAGGAGAAGGATGCTTCTACATTCCCTGTGGCAGAACGTGCAGGTGGGTAATTTAAGAACAGGACTAAGTTTTTGCTGATGTGTTAAAAGAAAAGGTGGGGTGCTGGAGAGATGAAAGGATGGGAATATGGGGAGTTGTTCTTTAATGGATACAGTGTTTCAGTTCTGCAAGATGAAGAAGTTCTGTCCAACAACGTGAATATACTTAACATTAATGAGCTATACATTTTCAAGTGGTTAAGAGAGTCAATTTTATGTTATATGTATTTTACCATAATTAAAAAGAAAACATTGGGCCCTGACTGGTTTGGCTCAGTGGATAGAGCGTCGCCCTGGGGACTGAAGGGTCCCAGGTTTGATTCCGGTCAGGGGCATGTACCTTGGTTGCGGGCACATCCCCAGTAGGAGGTGTGCAGGAGGCAGCTGATTGATGTTTCTCTCTCATCAATGTTTCTAACTCTCTATTCCTCTCCCTTCCTCTCTGTGAAAAATCAATAAAATAAATTTAAAAAAAAAAAGAAAACACTGGGTCATTTAGTGCATGTAGTTCAATAAGTAACACTGATTAGGGCTAGACTTTGTTCTGCTTAAACAAACCAACTCCTCTGACTCACTCATATGAATTTGGATTTTGATTAAGACATTGAAGAACTATTTTTAAAAAATCATTGCATACTGCCTGGCCCACAGATAAATGAGACACACACACACACACACACACACACACACACACACACACACACCTACCTTTCTATTTATTCTTCACACAGACACCCCATCACCAGGGCCCAAGTTCCCCCCCCCACCACCCTTTTACCTCTCTGTGTAATTAAAATGAATAAGCTTGAGGGCCTGCCTGGCCAGTGGACCTATAATTTGAGTGAATCAGTGAGTTGTACCTTGCAGAACAGGATGGATTTTACTTTATATAAGCTGAAAGAACTATATCTGGGGATCAGTTCACCAAAAAATACTTATTTAAAAAATAACACAAGTTTGACCTGTTGGGGAAAAGGCCTCCCGGAAAAAGAGGAGATGAATGGGAATGTCATTGATGAGGCTAAAAGCCAACTGAGGTTTAAAAACAACAACAACCTCAAACACTAAAGGACTTTGACATGTGATTTCCATTGTCTGGAATGACACCATCTTCTAAAGACTTTAATGTCAACTCATGTTATCTGTAAATATTTCTCAATTTTGCCATTTCAAAAAAGAACACTGGGAAGTACCTGGCCCTCAATACATTTGCACCATAGGAAAAATTACCTGTGTCCTGAATATGGGAATATGATACATGAAACTAAAAGGAAGGAGCTGGAAGGAAGCTGGCACGAGGTCGCATTCCTACAGACAATTAGAGGAGGGCGCCGCAGGTCTGCTGGCCGGGCCTGCCAACAGGGAAGTGCAGAGGGAAGTCGAGTTGAATTTGAATACACAGAATCTGGCAACTGGGGAGAATCCAACTAGTTCTCTGGCCACGGCTGGGAAATGCCCACCTGATTAGAAACTTGGCTGTGGGCAAGTCATGCTGAACTCCTCTTGGTCAGGCAGTTGTTACAGAGGAAAAATGTGACCTGAGGGGCCACAAAGACCCAATTTCAAGTCCTAGTGATGCCACTTGAATTGTACAAACTCCCCGAACTGGTTTCCTCCTCTGTGAAATGGGGTACAAGGAAACACGCACAGGGCCCTTGTGAAGAACATCGTTGCCAAATACGCATAAGTGCTCTGAGTCTTGCATACCATTCTGGCTCTTGGTCAGAATGGCCTCACCCAGTCATGTGCCAAGAAGTATTTAAATAAATAGGAAGTGTTTAAAGAAACATTTCTCCCTGCTTATGGCAAGTGAAAATATTCTAACTTCCTCTGCTGATGCAAGGGACTGTTTCTCCTTAATTCTATCACAGTAACCATGCTGATGCAAAGGGCACCAAAAACACAGGGTATTCAATGACACCCACAACAGTGGGCCATTCATGAAGGTGGCTTGTGAGAGATGGAAACAACTTTTAAGAAAGGGCTGGAGAAAGCTGTTTTGGGGGAAGGAATATGAAAAAAATCTGTCCTTACCTTAGCAGTAAGAAAAACATTAAAGTGTTCATTGAAAGAAAGCACAGGATGATCCGTAATTCTTTTTAGGAATTTATCCAAAGCTTTCCTTCTGGTCTCCACAAACTCTTCCGAAAAACGATCCACAACACCTTTCACCACAAACTTTTCGGGAAGCGGCTATGAAGACAGGAAGAAAAATGTTCACAGCAACTGATAAAATTGTGCAAGTAAAAACCACCAGGCTAGCAAATCATTCCTATGACCCATCTGCCCAAGAACAGCATTTCTTAACTGCTCGGATCTTTAAGAAGATAGTCATCAATACAAACATTTTTTTTTAAATATAGAGAGAATAAATCAAAACTACCTGGTCAGTTTTTAAATGCAAGAAATAAAACACTAGAGCATAGTTCCTGGATTACAGAAAACAGCCAGTCAGCGTTTATCCAGTAAATCCAATAGTCACATTGGATTTACCTTCACATTGCTTGAGGCACAGATGATAAAATGAGAAAGTTAGAACAAGATAAAATAGTCTAAGGAAAGATGGCAGATAACAACAACCACACAGAAATATATTTAAATATAATAAGATTCTACTCCTAGCTCAAGAGATAAAAGAATTTGGTGGATAGAGAAAGAAGTACATGTTATTTAAAAAATACCTCTCCTTCTCCCCCTTTTTGTTTAGGTTTATACTAAAAGGTTCTTTAAAATGTAACTTCCTTTATTTCCCTTACACAAACAAATTTCTTTATCACATTTTCTTTAAGCCAATATTGTGGATAATTTCAAACTACCTGGCCACTGTAGGATCTCTGAGCTTTAACCTATTTCGGTAGTAGTTTGATCAAATTAAAAGGCCTTCCTCATTACTGCCACCACAGGGAGAGAGAGTATTTGCTAACGCACAATTTGAAATGTACTAGTTATGAAATATTAAAAGAGTATTTACATAAAAAAAGTGATCTGGTCAATATTTCTCCAAACAAGATAAACAAATGGCCCAATAAGCACATGAAAAGATGCTCAACATCATTCGTCATTAGAGAAATACAAACCAAAACCACAATGAGATACGCTCTCATACCCACTAGGATGTGTGTTTGCGAGGGTGTGAAAAAACTGGAACCAGTATTTAAATCCACAACTTGTTCAAACTCCATCATATGGCCAAAGAGATGTAAAGAGATGTTTTCTTTTAAGGTATTAACCCTCGAGAACAACAACAACAAAAACCCACCCCAAAACAAAAAACAAGAACAGAAATAAGATACAGCAACAAGGACTTAGCCATCCCAAAGAAGGGGAATACTAAGACGCTCAAGTGGAGCAGGAAAGACAAGAAGCAACCCAGATTGATAACACGAAACCTTAGAAAGACTTAGGAACTGGCAACACCAGCACCCCTGGAAATGAATACTTGGAAAAGCTTTGCAGAGTCACTATGTTTCAGTTCTAAGGAGTAAAGACTCCGGCGCCGTGCCCCATGGGATCCTCTTTCACCTCTGCCAAAGTGTTTGACTTTGGTGAAGTTCTATAATCTCTTGGTACCTCAGTTTTTTCTTCTGTAAAAAATGGAAAACAATAGTACCAACCTCATGAAGATTAAATTAGCTATGAGGTTGACTGTGCTTCCCACAGCTCCTGCCACTGAGCAGACACTTGATAGAAGTTTGTGTGGTTTTGGCTGTAGGAGTGGCCGCAACTTCAGGGGACTACTGTTCAGGTAAACCTTGAGACGGTAGGAGTGTTTGGAGAAGAGGCAAAGAATTGAGGGATTTCTTTTTAACAGAGAAGGAGTTTTCGAGGGCACAGTGGGAAGGGTTAGTAATAAAGAAGAGCTCTTAGGGGAGAAGAGTCAGGAATAAAATGACAGAGCCGCACGGGGATAACATGTCCAAGTCAGATGTCCACACTGGGGTAGAACATTAGAAATGCATGACCAGCTCAGAGGCCACCCAGCCGGATGTTCCGGAAGCAGAGAAGCTGCCTTAGCAGGGTGTGGTTGTCCTTTAGGATAATTCCTCTGCTCTGCTCTATTCTTCTCTCATTCCCTTCGACAGCCATCCTCCTGAAACCCTACACTCAATCGCCAACGTTTCATGCTAAGCAGATTACCATCTCTCTGAAGGAGGAACCAGGTCTAAGGACAGCACATGGAAATTCCCTAACCATTTTGCTTCCTCCACAGAAACCCATCTACTGGGCACCACCCTCACCTCCATTCCTCAGGTCCCTGTGGAGAACATGCTCCTCCTCATCCAGCTCTACTCCCTGAGTCTACAACAATATATCTAGACCCAGCCGGTGTTGCTCAGTGGTTGAGCGTCAACCTATGAACCAGGAGGTCATGGTTCGATTCCCTGTCAGGGCACATGTCTGGATTGTAGGCTCGATCCCCAGTGTGGGGCGTAGAGGAGGCAGCCGATCAATGATTCTCTCTCATCATTGATGTTTCTATCTCTCTCCCTCTCCCTTCTTCTCTGAAATCAATTAATATATATATATATATATTAAAAAAACAACAACAACAAAAACAAATATATATATATATAGTTCTTTTCTACCTGAAAAAAATAAGTGTTTTGACCTTATATCCTCTCTACTCCCCTCCTGTCTCATTCAACCTTTTAAAAAATAAT